TACATGCCCAAATTCTAGTTTCGTCGTCCACTGTTGTTATTGCCCGCTGTCACGGAAACCGGCCGGAATGATAAGTCAACACGTGCTGAGGGGGGTGCTGGACGCGGACACTATCAAACTCAAAGGACCTTTTATTGAAACTAAATTAAAAGTGCACAATGCTGGCAGTACTTTTCCACTGATATTTGAAGGTAGGGAGAAGGTGCGTGAAGTGCAGTCTACATGTACTTGTTATGTAATTGTTGATCTCATTGTATCTACCGTACAAGGCAACCATACGAGCTTGAGACAGTCCGTGCAAATAAATAAGGTATTCTATAAATTTAGGAGCTCCACTTTTCTTCCTGTCCCTATTACATCTGACATCTACCGGTATGTTTCATACTGTTATTCTGATGTGGCATACTCCTTTAATGCAGTCATCTACCAAGAGCGATAAATGAATAGCAAAGTACCTACTCAACAAATAAAAAAATGTTTGCATTCATTCTTAATGATACTTGAATGGCAAATTGCAAAGTACCAACGTATCAGGGAAAGGAAAAACAATTTGGACCATAAATTTACAGAATTACCTATTAATATACACACAGGACAGGGGAACATTTATAGTTAGAATATACATCTCGGAGAGGGAAGTGTGAAGAACTTATACTACTTGCGTTTACAATTATGGGCTCCAGGCGTGAAAAAAAGGGCACTTTTTGACCACTATTGAGAGCTCCAGTTGGGGGCACAACACGTGCTCGTACTGGTTTGCATTTGTATGGCGCGAAGTACGTGTGGCCCGAAGCACGCACGACCAATTCCGTTCTGAATGTATACAAAGCCAGAGCATCTTTGCATGAGAGTCTTTGCGTGAGCGTCTTGGCGTGAGCGTCTTGGCGTGAGCGTCTTGGCGTGAGCGTCTTGGCGTAAACGTCTTGGCATGAGCGTCTTTGCCAGAGCAACTTTGTGTGAGCGTCTTTGTTCTCTCTTTTGTCTCTTTGGATGGAACACACTGCGTTGGGACACAACCGCACATATGGGTACATGTAGTTATGGGCCGGGTACCACTATTGTCCCCCTTTACTTCCCTACTATTGTTCTCCTTTGTTTCTATTGAAATCTGAAACAACATAACATTTCACTCCTGGGGTACTAAGATTTCTAAAGACCGACTTGCGAGGTACCGTACCATTGTCCCTATTGTTACCCTTTGTTCCCTGTACCATACGTAAGAACATACTGGTTCACACACGGATAGCGCGAAGTACGCACGACTAATTTTATTCTGAATGTAGACAAACCCATGGCGTCTTCGGATGAGCGTCAGGCGTCTTTTGCAATGCGTTCGAATATCACTCCAAGTGGTGTGTCTTCCCCAACTCTCCCTTTCTTACCGTTGAGGGGGTACTTGTGCACGGAGCGGATATAACTGATGTGTCTAAACGGCATACAATTTTGCTTGTAAGAGATTTTGCGTCGTAAAAAGGTAGCATGCAAAATTGAGTTCAGTGATTTATCATGTACAAGTGTAGGTATGTAAATGTAATGTTTGCTGAAAACTGTTCACAACGTGCATTGCATTCAGAGGTTCAAAGTAAACATGTATGGAGGTTATTTGGGGGATGTTTACAACTGAAGGACCCGCAAAATTGAATTCCGTGCCAAATATTGGAGACAGGCCTGCTACGACCCAGCATGGCAAACACAGAATAATCTTGGTAAGCTCTCAATATGTGCACACATGTAGTGCATATGGCACATCTACCCACACATGTACATGTACTGGTACATGTAAGGCACTCGCAGGAATTTTAAGAAAATCAGTATAAATTCGGTGTCAATACAAGACTGTGAAATTTACCACACGGCAGTGACTATATGGTGACTACCGGTACATGAAATTTGACTCAGTCAAATGCATACTCTGACTATTTCTAACCATGCAATGGTAGCATTGCTGATTCTCAATGGGTGATTTTGTTTCAAGTACATGTAATTAATGACACGATAAACGAGAAAAAAACAGAGTAAAATGTGACAACCAGTAAGAGAAGCATAGGCCTATAGCTCGGTATTTCAACTGCGCATGCTCACAATGATGGGTCACAGGTCATTCGGGATAATTAATTATGAGCGGAATGGGCATTCACGTAACATCACGTAACATCTCGCCAGCTATTTCATCCCGAATGACCTTAGACCTGGACTATTTCTGGTGAGGTGAAATTGGCTAAAAGGCCAAAACACTGTTTGTTCTCAAACTCGCTCTATTCTGTCTTAAGAACTTGCGGATGATCACAAACACTAGTAATAACTTGGATGAGATTTGAAGGTTTGCATGGTGGAAAGATACTAAGACAAGATAAGTTTGGGGTAGCACCATGTGAATAAATCTCTTTCGTTGGAATCCCTCATTCTCCTGACGACGGGCAGAGCATACTGTTCGAAACGTTGAGTCCCTCCGGTTCTTTTCAGAACCACACATACTCACAAAAGAGATTTATTCACATGGTGCTACCGCAAACTTAGCTTGTCTTAGTAACAACTTGTAACCCTCTATTCCATCTTTAAAAATGCATAATTTATAAGTAGAAGGCGCAAGCACCAACTCTCATTGAAAATTGTATTAAAAATTGATGGAATGCCTCCGCTTCATCTACACGTAGATCCGCGACTTGCTGCGGGGCAGAGACAAGACTGCCGTAATGGAATGTTTACTCAGCAATCTGGGCAGCAAATCTTGTGATTAGGAGCAATTACTTTATTGTCTGACGATGAGGGGCTCTGCAATACCCTGCCTCTCCTTAGCAACAGAGGGATGGAATGATCCCAGAAGATTCCAACGAGTCATGATAAGGTGTTGCAATTTGCAAAGTTATTTTTCAGTGAGTTTGATAGTTTTTGAAAATAATAGGCCCTAATCTCTTCTTTATTGTTTAATGCCTGCTACGACCTCCGTAATAGATAAAAGGATGATTCATTGTTGATTTGTTTTTATCAATTTGTGTGTGTGATTTTTTGTAATTTAGAAATTGTGAAGTTATAGTTCAACATCATCAGAAATTGTGAAGTTGTAATTCAAAGACAGAAGCTTCAATGGCTACATGTCATTGTTTGAGCTACAATTTCTGTTGTTTAGAGCTCTGTCAAACATATCGATTTTGTTTTTTACTTAATTTCAGTGGAACTCCTCCATTTTTTAAAGTTGTCTTGGGTTACAAAACGTTTTTGTTCTGGCGCCTGCGCTGTTGGATGTTGTTGAAATAAATGAAATAAGTAAAGAGATGTTTATTTCACGGGGCATTACTACAGGTCTGGTATTTTAAACAAAATTAAAATTTTGAAAAAAAAGTAAGACGTTCTGACACTTATGTTTTGAAACAAGCAGAGAATCTTTCTCAAAGGTTTTTACAAAGATTCTCCTGGGATCAAAATGTCGGGCCCAATAATTGCCACACCTAGGTCAGACCAGCAGCAATTCATCTTACAAATTTAAATTTGGATTTTCTACTATTTAAGCCCCGTTACACAATGATGCTTGGGACATGAGCTTGGCATCAAATGATATGAATGTATTTTCCAGTGTGACAAGGGGTAAAAATTAACCCATTTACTTGAAATGACAGGTCAAGCAGTTCTAAAGCAGGTCACTTCAAAAACCACCAGCCTAACAGAAGTTGTGTCAATCCACCAGTATCTGGTGTGACCCTCAGAAATATTTCTCATTAACACAAAACGGCTCATAAATCAACTCAAGGCTGACAGGCAGGTGTTACTTTCAACGAGCTCTATTCCCAAATTAATCGCCTGTGCTGCGTGACAAATGAGCCTTCATTTATGTCAGCGACAGAATTAATCATTTATTTCTAAACAGTCCACTCTAACTTTTTGTTTATAAACCCTAACCCAATTTGATACCGTAGAACATCATGTCAATTTTGGACCACAGCATCACATTAAACATGTACTAACAGTTGTAAAAAGAGCATATGGTATATTATACATACACTCTATGTGCATTTATGGGTGGTATGCGTACGGGAACCAGATACCCTATTGAAGTAAAACATGGGTACCCAGGTACCCGTAAAACAAACCCAACCACAAAATTCAAATCCCAGAAGTTGTCTGAAGGGCTTTATAGCTTTACGGTGTAAACTGCAATGTTCGCGAGCATCTGTTGTGCGTTAAAATGCGCTTAAATGTGAAATCTGTAAATTGTTTTCCGCGTATGGTATGTAGTCTGCTTTTCATTTTGATAATTACCCACAAATGGTATTCAAAACATTTCTGGTCTTTTCCCTGTCTGAGAAGTTACATGTACTTTGTAAATTGGTTACTGGTACCCGATTCCATAATCTGGAACCGGTTCCTGACATCAGCGGTCGGGTACTCGAGTACACGGTTCCGATGCACACCCCAGTGTATGTCGATGGCTGCAATGTTTTGAATGGCCAGATTGCAGGCTATTTTAAATGACCATATCAATTTGAGACACAACGCAATTTACCACAATGTTTACGGTGTCCAACTCCTGTGCAACAGTACAAGGGTTTGGTCACTGTGGCATCACAATATGCCACAAAGTATGGGAATGATTTCTAAGCAATAGACAGCACTGGCATGTACAATGTATACGTGTACCGTAAGTCTGCCATATCTCTCTCTCTTTGAGACTTCTAAGGGGAGTGATTTCGAACAGACAGTCAGGTTGATGCCGTGGTCCTTTCCTCACCTTTACTTCAATGGCCTGGGTTCGATTCCTGCTCACGTCCACATGTGGATTGGGTTTTCAGTCCCTTCCAGATTCAGTGGATTTTCCCCAAGAATTCTCTCCAGTGCTTTTCCTCCCACCACTGAAACTAAACATTTCTTAATTGTCTTCTCCCTATCTAGAGGTTTCTTCAGGTTTGTGAGCTACAGTGCCTAGGGCGCTTTCGACGAACGGTTTCATAACAGGAAATTAATGACGATAATTAATAATAATGAGGGTAAAGACAGGTAGGACTCACCACAATGCCAGCCCAGTATGGCGCATCTCTGGTCTTGACGGAAGGCGTCATCAGTAACATTGTGACTCCAAACACCATGATGGTGAATCCCAGCAACAGCTGCAAGGTCACGAGGCACACGGGCAAGGTACAACACTGGAGATCATACTTGGTTTGGCTGGTCACGTTGGAGACTTTGTGTACGGGCTGGGCTGGGTTGGGAATCCTCTGCAGGTCAGAGTGGACGCTGCCACCGTCGTCGTCGATGCGCTGCGTGTGATCGGCGCCCTCTACGGGCACAGCGGTCGACAGGGAGGGCTCCAAGGAGGTGTAGCGTAGCTCTGGGGAGCTGGAACTCCGTGAACTGCGGGACATGCGCGCCACCGACAGCGGCGCCGTGGAACGGGAACTATTAGACTCGTCGCAGTCAGGCATTGTGGTCAGCATTGCCTCGGGCGCTTCGCCACGCATCTTGGTTTAGGAGTGCTCGCAGATTGACAGCGCAAACACAGTGAAGTCATTGATGTGCAGACATTGTCACTCCTGGATGTAAAGGAAAATATACAATACACATTTTTTTAAATTAATTTCTTTTTTAAAAAAGACTTGGCATTAAAGTGAAGCAAATTTGTGACGTCACTGCATGTTTTCACCCAACAAATTTGCCAAAGTTTGACATATTCCAACTCGAGCAAATTTCGCTGCAAATGTTTGGAGACATCCAATTTGCTATTGCATTTGCATTTAACCACTCAGGAGTAAAAACTAAGCAAACAGGAAAACCAAAACGAACAGGAATGCATTGCTCGGTACGACTTGCCAAGATGAGCAACCAACCCAAAGAAAACAGACAGTTCTATGCAAGGGTGAATGGGATACATGTCTTCATCTCAGGTCTATATGGGGCATTTAAAAGAAGTCTTCATTCTCCGTCTCTAGAAAGCAGGGTCAGAAGATGTGAAATGCTCAAGTCTTTAGACGCAATAGTTTTGGGGAAAGACATGTTTCCCCGCGAGTTTCAATTTTGTGCAGTAAATTCCACAGCACCATGCAGTAGTCGCGTATCTCATAAAAATGTACCTCAAAATGGAATATTTCAGACAAACTACCAGTACAGGTGCACATGTACATGATGAGAAAGCTGGATAGTAGGGCAATTTCCAGTTTTCAGGAAATAAATTTCCAGGTTGTTTATTTCCATGCTATTCCAGTTTTACACTTAATGTTACAATACATACATTTTTATAATTGCTACACAGAGGGGCCTCGTAGCCGAGCGGTTAGAGCGTGGAGCTACGGAGTGGAAGGTTGGCGGTTCGAATCCCATTCGGACCAAAAACTGGAAAACTCTCTCTGACGACCCAACAGTAAAATGGGTACCTGATTTGTTCAGGGAAGGTAAGACGGCGAGAGGAGAGGACTGGGCACCGCCACTCATATGCCGCGCCCAAGACACAGTGGACCTCTAACATCCCACTGCCCCTACGGCCAGTAATGGCTATGGGATCTTTACCTTTACCTTACACACGCGTACTCCTTACCTAAGTGGCTAAACAATTTACAAGCGCTGTACAACCATAGATGTGACCAAGAACGTGCCGACGCCACACATGTGTGTTTCAGCATGCTTTTCTACATTTTCCAGAAACCAAATTTGCTCCGAAACCTCCATTTGCTCTCTATGAAGACGTCATACATGACCATGGGGGATCTTCACTAAATTCCATTTTGAGATTCCTAACCTGGAAGGTCTACTTGTAAGACTTCCTCCCCCCCCCCCCTCACCAATCAGAGAGGATAATCTGAAGACATATACTGAGGCCAAAAAAAAAAAATTCTGCTTCCGGTTTCCCTACCTACCCTATTCTGACAGCCCATACCCTCATTTTTTTATTGGAAAAATGAGAAAATAACACCCAAAACCATCAATTTCTTTACCCTTGACTACACGCAAAAGCCTCCAAATGATTGTTCACAAAAAAATTTGCACAAAAATCAACATTCCCTACCTATCTGTACTCTGTAATCTCTGAAATATTATATGCGGATCTATTTATGTCCGAGGTGTTCGTCTTAAAATGATGATGACAGTTTTTAGGTGATGGATCACGCTTTTAAAAGTTCAGCATCCAAAAGTTTAGAGAAAATAGCCCCAGAGTGGGCAGCAAATTGAGCACACATGATTTCTTATCGACGCTTGTCATTTCTTGATGCAGTTAGGCACTGGGCCTTGTCAGAATAATCAGAAAGTGGGAACTTAAAGTTGCGTTCCCATGCTCATCAACAAATTTAATTATTTTTTTCTCTTCCAACCAAAAAAAATCTTTCTATTGGGGGGAGGGGGGGGGGGGAGAGGTCTGCAACCCGTTATTTAAATCAATACGGCCCAAAAAAAGCCATGAATTCATCACCAACAAAAACAAGGATGAAAGATCACTGTAGAAATAGCAGATAGATCAAACCAAAAGCTGGCTAAGGTTTGTGGGCAAGACAAACAACTAGCATGACAAGGATGAGTGAGTTCATGTAAGAGGGTGCTCTGCTCTGATTGTCTCGTAACGAGGTTGTCGTACGTCGACTAGCAACGTCGCCCAACAGCACAAGCAAGGGCTAAGCCAAAGCACGATCTTTACCCGTCTCGGCCAGGGTTTTTGTTTTCCCAAGGTGCGTCAATCTTTACAAAACTGAGGTACTAACCAAACAGCCAATGGGATAAAAACTTGGGGCTTACAATGTAGGTATTGACTTTGCCCCATGGCAAAACCAGGCTGTTCAAGGAATCAGTAAATTAACTTTAACTTGCACAAAAAAATAGACAAATTTCAGTGTAAAAATGTCAGAACTTGCTCTTTGATACTTCTTTAAATCTGTGCAATTTCTTTATCAAACTTTTTTTCTGTAAATTTTAAGATTAATGTCCAAGGTAAAAAGATTTTTTTCACCAAAAAGAGCCTGGTTTGGACACTGGATGTCTTTTGATTGATTCTTGGCTTGACAGACTGTCTGCGTTCAGGATTCAGCTTTGGGTTTCCTATTGTACCTATCCACAGATCCTCTACACAAGGATAAACGACTTACCCAAATTTCTGGTTTCATGCGTGATACGGCACTTGGGCGTCATGCGTGCGCGTGTCAAATTTGTAGGGCGCCAGCGCGAGCAGTGTTCTACGTGTTCTATGTGTTGTTCTATGCAAGGACACGGCATATCACACCCATGTAGACATTTTGTTCGGTACATTTTGTACACAAGCTCAGATGAGTCGTTTATCCTTGTGTAGAGGATACGTGACTTATCTCACTGACTACGTGCAACTGTCACTTGTGTTATGACCATAGAGCTATATTAAATTACTAGAGCGCTAACTCGATGTACAAAGTAATGCCTGATGGGCGCATCCATGTTTGTGCACAAGCCTATGGAAAACTCAAATTTTGTACGGCTTTTATATAATAATAATAATAATATTATGCTATAGATGTCACGTGAGTATCATGATGGCCCGCGTTTGAGCATTAGTGGCTCTCATGGTTAGCCCGTCTGCCTTTACCAAGTCGATCCGGGTGAGCTACTCAAACGCACCCTAAATGACATTACAAAAACAATGTAAATTCAGATGCTGCCACAAGATGGCAGATGGCATCTGGTGTTTCCATGCAAGTGAAGCATATCTCGGCAGCAGTCATCCTGACTGCAAATGAAAACAACCAGTGCGTACAATTTGACTTTTTCGATAAGGACCCAAGACAAACAAGATACTGAGCAATATTTTTACCGTGACACCTTGACCACAAATGCGTGACTGACGCGCTTTCTTCGGAATGTTCAACCACAAATCCGCAGCAGACTCTTCGACTGCCCTCAAATTCAAGGCTGATGAGGATCTAACGTTCGTGGAATTAAGTCAAGATGTCGCTAACTGAGATGGAAAAACAACCACCATCTGTCCCATAATAGGAAACTTGCTTTTTAAAGAAAAAATTGGTTCCCTAAAATAGACCAATTTAGCTATCAAAAGAATCTCCACACCCCCCATTCCCGCCAAACAAAGGGACATTGCAGAATAGAGGCAACTTTATTACATTTACCCAAATGAGTATTTAAAATATAAATTCATTAACATAAATCAAATTAGGTTTTGCCCTTCACCGACATTTAAACACTGTATACTCAGTGTGTTACCTCCCGAGTGAAAGTTGGAAAAATCACTCGGGTGGGACTCGAACCCACGACCTCCTTCTTTCTAGTGCAGATGTCTTACCACTCGACCACCGAGCTAACGGGATCGATTGGCCGTTTCGTTATGTTAATCATTCATTAACATACACAAGCATAAACATACATTACAACCCCCCCCCCAAAAAAAAAGAAATACAACAAAATACAGCTATCCTACGGTAAGTACCAGTACAATAAAATTTCCACTTTATTTCTGAAGGACAATGGAATAAAAATTAAAATTCACAAGCTATAAATCTGCCATAAAATGTGCATGTACATTGTACACCGAGTACTGTAACTTGGCAACATGCCAGCTTTTCAGGATGTTCAACGATGTTGAAGGGAAATGTTACTGACGCGTAAATTGCTTCAAAGAGAGTCCATTTTTAAACCACCTGAATTCATGCACTTTCGGGCCATTAGTTTTGAGTTCCGATGCAATTTTGATTAAACAAAATTGCCAGAGCATACAAACTGTACATGTGTAAAATATCTCAACAGTACGGAGAGTTACGTATGATTCAGTCAACCAGACAGCTGATCAGTGAGATGTGAGACATTTTTAAAAACAGCTGGAAAACAATCCGTGGTGACGACTTTTAAACCAAGTCCCTGTTAAAACAAACGGAAGCATGCCCATGTGCATGCACAAGAACCACATGGGTGCGTGTGGTGGAAAAATACCAAAAGCTCTTTGGGAAAAATGAAGTGGGAATGTTTAAAGTTGTAACAGCTAACTGCTTTGTTTTTTGCTTGAATTCTCTTTTTCAGAATAAAAGTTTTTTCTTTCCATTCACCCATTATTTAAAATGTAGGGCCCCAACAAGCTGCTACATGTAAGGCTCCAATAATTTGTTAAAGGCACATAGGATCATTTGCGTTAATCCCAAAAGTAATCTACTGGTTCTGAATTTTTATACAAAATCATACTGACCAGTACTATAAACACCCCGTGAAATTATTCTGTCTGGCTTGCTGTCATTTAGAAGAAACAAAGAACTGTATTGGTGATTTCCAATGATAAGTCAATTCTTGACTGATTTTGTGAAATACACAGAGTGCTATGGACGAAATTGTGTTTTGTGATTAAAAGGTTTTTCACTGTTTTCACACAAAGTGTAATATCCACTAAGCTGAACTTCAACAGGCTGGGTTTTTACCATTTTTCTTTGGACTTTGTGTAGTGTTATTATTGGAAAGGAATGAAATGCTTAAAAAGCAAATGAACCTAAATGCCTTTAAGCACAGAATGTCTTAGTGGCTCAGTAAAGTCATGCTATCAGCCAAAATCCCATCCTATGTATATTGTCTGTGGCTGGTTCCC